AGCAGATCAGGGGCCCTTCGAATTGCCCCCTTAGCCAAATTGTCAACCGCTCTATTTCCTTCCCTTAGCGTATGACAAATTTCCCAATCACCAAACATCTTCTTCAATTTCTCAATGTGTAAAATCCATTTTCTAAGTCTCCACGGGACGTCATTTGGACTTTTGATCCACTCCACGGCATTAAGAGAATCACTCTCAATGACGGGTGAGAAATTTCCAACCCAAACGGAGGAGGCGAAGATAATGAAAGCTTCGCGAATTTCAAGAAGTTCTGCAAGACTTGAGTCCCCAATATTGGAATATACTTGATCGTGTCAAACTCAAATTGGAAATTGGAATCATATAAACAAAATGCTAGTAAAATTGCGTCAGCCTTGGCACACCTCTTCTCCCATGGATAATGCCAATTGGGTTCTTAATTCTGAACTATATAATTGGAATTACAATGAGACAGCAAATCAAATATTCGCTAATGAACAAAATCTAATAAGGGTTTTAACAAAATTGCAAAGAATTCATGATAACCAAGTAATATATGCAGGTGATCACGAGTATATCGATGTGATCAATTACAACAAGGGAAGTTCTGAGCGTTTGATTATTGATATTGACTTCCGAAGCCACTTTGAGATAGCTAGAGGAGTTGAGTCTTATGATAGAATATTGAATTCACTTCCGGTTGTTTACGTGGGCTCATTGACTAGGTTGAAACAATTGCTTCAGCTTATGGTTGACGCTGCTAGATCGTCTCTTAAGCAAAACTCAATGCCTTTTCCTCCATGGAGAGCTCTTGCTTATTTGCAAGCAAAGTGCCAGTCGCCCTACCAGAGACAATCTACTCCCAATGAACATGATCTTGAAGACAATGTTTCTTCTGACAATAAACAGTGCAACCGGCATTTAAGGGGGCTGCGGTCTTCACTTCAATCCGAATTAGAAGCAGAGCGACTATTGAAGCCCATGAACATTGATAGTCACAGGAGATTGAAACTTTGGATTACCAATTATACAGAGAATGACCAGATTATTAGCTGCTTTTCTTACTGTACCTGTTGATTCTTCTGTTTGTGTACTTGTCCCATATAATTCAGAAAAGCAGAATCCCCAATCAATGTTTCTGTGATGTGCTGCCAAAGAAAAATTTCAAGTTTGAATTAAAAGCAGAATATGCCTACTATATATGCTTCTCTATACACCATTGCTTTTTGAGTAATTTACCTAGCACTATGTGATTAATTAAGCCTTAACCAGCTTGATTAATTAGTGTTTTGTTGGTGTTAATCTTTAATATAATTGATATTATCATAAGGCTTTGTTACCAATTAGGTGACAAAGCTGTTATAATAATGTCAGTTTAAGCACAACATGTGGAACTCTTCTATGTTTGAGATCATTATTGAGGGGTTTGTAACACTTCGGAAGAGCAATATCTCATTTTGTGGGGAGAAAGAAATTTACCTTACCACTCATTTATATATATATATATATATATTGATATAATATTTTACTTAGGAAAGTTGATTTGACGGGATAAATCTAGAATTACCCTTATATCATTTGGCATCAGATGTGTTTCCAATTTCTTACTATGCTCTCGAACGAATAATGCATTACTAGTGGACCCCATCACATTAGGGCAACTCACCTTGATGGGGCATTGGAGTCTCCATATAGACTCCTTCTCTTGAGAACCAAGAATTTCATGAGATTGAATTCATAACCTTATAAATATAAGATTGACTCTGATGTTATTTTAATTAAAAAAACCATGTATGTATATTATATATATATATTATTCTAACCAAAAATGTTAACTTGATTGGATAAAATCAATTCAGAATTGCCTTAATATCATTTTGACATCGCGTGCTTTACTCTTGTAAGGACAATGTATTTCAAGTGGGTCACCCACCTTGGTAGGGCATTACAGTCTCCACATAGACTCCGTCTCTTGAAGATCCAAATATTTCATGAATTCGACCTATTGAACCTATGGATATAAGATTGTCATTTTAATTAAAAAGATTATATATATATATATATATAATATATAAATATTATAGAAAGCAAAGGTCTTCGAATGTCTTTCCCTGTAATTATGTCCTTCCACCGCAATCTGCATGCCATTCAAGAGATAGGAAGATGCCCCCCTATGGAAATGGGGTTGAACTGCTGGACCTTTTGCATTTCCAACACTTTGATTGGAATACCTATCAATTTCTTTCCTCCATAGTTCTCTTTCTCTAAAATTTTAAGAGTTTGTTTGGTTGATATTTTTAGTATTTGATTTTCATAACTTTGTTTTTATTCCTTGATTTCATCCAGTAAGCTAGATGATGAAGCGTATTCTCTCCAATTCTAAGACCCAGGGTATAGTTACTGAGGTACTGCCGGTTATCTACACATAATCTTGGATTTAGAATTCACTTTGGATGCAAAAACGAAGAAACCGTGCCAGGAAAGACGTATAAACCTCAATCAATGTGAGATAAATATTTAGATCACTCTTAATTAATAACTTAATAACAGAGTCATAAGTAAATTAAGATGCTCAATGACACT